AAGCTGAGTAGTTGGCTTTGGAAAGCACCAACTGCGTAATTTATCGGGCTGGTTTATAAAGGGAGAGAAGATATCCGAGGACAGGAAAGGAATTTCATGGACATTTCAACAACACATCAAAACTATAGTGCATTTTGCCATCTCAAGATTTTTTTTTTGCCCTCCCTTCCATTAGTAGGGAGCAAGAAAAGGTATATCAGGGCTGCATCTCCAAAGCAGTTTCCAAGAACAAATTAAGGAGGGGAAGGGGAAAGGAGAAAAAAAAACCAGAACACCGCATTTTCCCTGCCTTCCCTCCTTATCAAGGGAGGAAAACCATGATGGCTCCAATATCCCACTAAGGGTACTGACATCTTTTCTAACCTTAAGTCCTCCAACTACAGCTTATATTAAGTCTCTGAAGAAGTCCTACGAAGAGGGCTGGGAAGAAGACAGGTTTAACATGAATTTAAGCTCATGTACTAGGAAGAAATGATGCAGGAAAAACATTTTAATAGTTTAATCCTTTAAAAAGCAAATGCACGCTCACACTAACAGTACAGCCAAAGCCCCTTTTTCCCCTCTGTTACCTCTGGCATCAGTACTGGACCACGGACTTTTTTATGGCTGATGGGGTATGAGGCAGGGGGGAAAGCAACCCCAAGCAACCATCAGAGGTGACTGACGACCACCACTCATTAGCAACAGGGACTACTCAGATCTGTGCTTGCTGAACATACCTGGGGAGGCTACAGCTCGTGGTGGCGCCAGGACATTACTCTACATGGAGCTGCAGGAACAGGTACACTTTAAAATGTTAGCAATGTCATTTGTGTTAACAAAACATAATGAAAAGTAACTCCTGTGCATGAAAAGCAGACATTTTTAGAACCCATTTCTGAATTGATTTTCATTTCAATCCTAGACTTTAAACACCCTTCAGTAGCATTTGAATTGACTTATCAGTGACTTGGTTAGGCTTATTTTGTGCAAGATGTGCTTTGGAGAAAAATGCTGCGAAAAATTTAGAAAGGGAAATTCATGGAGTTTTTATTCTTTTGACAAAACCAAGTCAGAAAGACTGCAACCTGCACTAATTTGGCAAATATTTTGGACAGAATTATTTTTAAAATTGCATTTGACTCAGCAACCAGTTTGATGGGGAAACTGAAAACACACACAGGGCTTTTTTGTGCTCAAGTGACTCAGGAACTTTTTAAGTCACAGCGACTCACCGTGTCACTAAAGCATTTAACAGCACTTGACTGGCAGCATAACCCATATTTAGAGACATTCAGAACCCAGCTGTCATCTTCGGCATCTAAATAAACTGATCAGCTGTAGGCACAGATATCAAGAAGCACATACAGACATGGACTCTTTATTCTCATTGCTAACAGAAGACTATCATAAGCTGCATAGGTGCCTTTATTTATGTTACAGTACAGAAATTGCTTTGGTTGGTGTGATACATCTTCTGTTACAGACTCAGAAATAGGCCCGCTAACACAACTGTGACATCTCATGTTAGCAAATATGATCAATCCAAGAAAAAACTCCAAATCCTTTGTGGGAAAGGGACATTTATTTGTTCTTTTGTATAGTACAGGAGATCTCAGTTCATAACTGAAGTTTTTGGCTACAACAGCAACAAGTAGCAAAAACACTTCATATGTCTGCAAGACTCCAGTCTGGATATACCCAGGATAACACTATGCTCGACACCAGCAATTATGAAATTTCAGCAAAATGCTTGAATAAGGAGCACAACGCTGCGCATCCTTTGCAGATGGCTGGTGAGGGAGAATGCCTTCAGACTCCTGGCTAGGGTCACTGTTTACCTATGCTAAATATCCAGATTTATTGAACATCCTCTTAAGGGCTTTACAAAGGAGCTTCAGAAGGCTAAAAATCCTGCTTCGTGTCCCTAGTGACCTGCAAGACAAAAGCAGGATGAACTCATCCTGCCCACCCACAGTCATGCACGTTTCTTGGGGCCGGCGGCAATGACTCGAAGCAGCACATCTGCTGTTTAATGGTTGTGCTAAATTATTGCAGAAAAGGTATAAGGTCTCTGATAGCAAGAGGTACAAGTTGCAGGCTGCAGACCTTCCTGATGTGTTTAAATCACATGTAGCTGCTCTAGTTGAACCTAGTTACGCTAGGCTGCACTTAACACAAAATGCTGTGATGCCTTTAATTGGGCTAGTAAGTGCAACTGATTGTAAATAATTATAGTGTGGTCCTCAGGGATGATCATTAGTAGCCACAGGCATGGAGACCCAATTGGCCACATTCACCACAGTGCCTAATTCTGCAGTTCACAGGTATTTACCAGGAATGTGTTTGGTTCGGCTGTATCTTCAGCACTTGAGGCGGGGGATAAAAAGCTTCCAATTCCCCACACATCTTTTAATACTATACTTTATTAATGCATTGGCCATCTGACTATGCAATTAAAGCATCACTGAAATAATCCTCCCTCTAGTAGAACAACAACTCACGAACACAAGATTGATAGTATGCTAGAAAAACTCCGAGTCACATGTATGCTGCATGGTGACACGGGGTTTTAAGTACTTGCTAATTTCAGGCCAGTATTGAAATCCCCTTGCTTATTCTTAGTTACGCAGAAGTATATCCTGAGTTCTGGGCCTATTTTGTACATCTGTTTCAACATTTTTTTGTATTAATACATAATTTTTAGAAAAAAACTCTCTCATCCTAAGCTACCAAGGTTAAAAGAAGTAAGATGTCCTCAGTTTTTACCGCTTCTTTTACTGGAGTAATTTACCTTTTAATATTCATAACATGACTCCATTAGCACATTTAAGAAGTGCTAGGAGAAGATCTTTTAATCATGGAGATAACTGTTTATGATAGCTGTCTGTTGTTAATTAGTTTGCAAGCCTTACACTCTGCTGAGGATGCTCAGAGAGGATTCTTACAAACACAGATCTTTTACACGTGTACAAGCTGGATTCTGCACATAGGCATACCACTACCACCTGAATGTAAATAAAATGCCCCAAATATTCAAGTTGCATTTAAAATGGAGTTGTTCTGGCAAGGAACATTCTTTATCCCAATTCTAAACAGCTGGAACATGTTATCAGGAGATTGCAACAGCCCAATTCAGGCATTTGATTTACTTTTAAAACAGCATTTGCCAAAGTACTGTTGTACCTTAGCACAGAATGCCCCTTAGTACAAAACATACCTAGCTGGAAGTGCCCCTCCTCTCCAAATAGGTCACGCAATATTGTTACACTTAAAATTGTATTATTTGTGTTTTAGAAAATATTAAAAATCCCTAAAAACTGAATAGAGCCTTATTCACATTTATAACTAACTTGAATTTACTATAAAATTTGATTGTAGTTGTGTGTATTCATCTATTTTTAATCTGACTTCCTAAAGGAATGAGGTTTACAGGGCCAACCATTGATTTCTTCCCCCTCTTCCTCCTCCCAAATAGATGACTGGACTCCTTTGCCCATTTACAAAATCAAAAAACAGCAAAGCTTTCAAATATGACTAAATCTCTGTAAATATACAAAAATCTGGGGCTAGAGAGAGAGGACACTTATCCCTAACCATTGTGCACAGAGAGGGAAAGGAGGGATATTCAGCAGTTACATTTCTGTTTGGCAGCCATTGTTTAGCCAAACCAGCGAGCGTACAGCTCCCGAGGAGCAGCAGCCCGTGCTGTCGCTTGCACACCGGGGTGCATGGAAATCTGGGGGAAGGAAGGATTTGGGTAACAAAGGATAACTTCTGAGCAAACCAGGCTTCATCAGTTCTGCTACTTGTGTTTTGGTTTTCGGACCAGGCGTTAATCTCCGGTCCCACTTTCATTAGTACAAATAATCCAGCGAACACAGCGACAAAACAGCAGCCAGTCACCTGCTTCATTGGATCAAATCCCTAGACATTTCATCGGGCAAAGGAAATTCATTATGGTATGTTTTTCAAATGAGTCTTATGAGCAGATCTTCAAAAAAGGCATTTTGCAGCTAACTCCTGCTGGCTTAAAGGGAAGCAGGATTTCAGCCTCTGTGCCAAGACCCTCCGTTGTTCAGCTGTGAGCACACAGCCTGCCTCCAGAGCCCTAACCTTCAAATCTATGCCCATGAAAATGAACATCTCGCCCAAGTGCAACTGCCAGCACAGCAGCAAGAAGAGACAGAAGCTGTGTATCACCCAACATAGCAGATTTGAGCCTGAACCTTCCATCGCAGGCACAAAGAATTGGTAGAACCAGCTATGTAGCTGAAACAACTTACATCCTAAGTGAACAAAGTGGTTAACGCACTCTTCCACCCAACAGTGTACAGGAGGACGACGTGGTTCTGAAGGCAATACCTCTGGGCAACCCACTGCATTGTACTGCTCAAGCTAAAACGTCAAGTCATGAAAAAAGTCATCCCAATGCATTCTCAGTCGAACAGTAAGTAGTATCACTACCAGCTCTGCATTAGTTTTCAGAAGTCCTGGGGACGTTCTGAATTTAGATCAAGTTTTAGCATGCTTCTTCAGCACAACACATAATGACCATCACCCCTTACATTGCCAGAGAACAAACTGCAGCAGAGGAGTGAAAATGCTCAAAATGACACATCAGCAGCCATGAACAAGGACTCAGGAGCTCACCGTTCTCAAGTTGAGCTGCTCAATCAATCACAGCTCTGCTTTGAAAGCAAACACCACAGAAGACAAGCTGAAACTGGGAAATCATGCTGTAAAATGGTAAGTCCTCAGACTATTTCAGCATCATTATACTCTTCAGTTATGTTTTGACTCAGCCTCCAAAGTGTCTCTTCCAGCAGCACATCTCTATCCGAAACTTGAAGTCAGCAACTTCACAAACATTTCATGCCTTGTGTATCTAACAATCATCACAAACAAGAAAAGCCTGGACTTTGAGTTCACGGCTCTGTGCAACCTCCACAGAAAATCATCATTGGTTTTGTCAGCAAGCATTTGGCTCAGGGTACAGAATAGAAAAAAAACACACTCACATGGTGCATGGAACATCACTAGCACAGATGAATGGTCTTTTATAAACTTGTCGAAGTCCTCATCAGTCAGGTGATAAACTACATTTTCTTCATCTGCCCAGGGAGTCTCCGGAGCCTGTGGCTGAGGTGCCTGTGGGCTACAAGACAGACAGACACAGCTGAAAAGCAGCTCTCTGATGCTAAGCAGTCATTTTGGCAAGTCGGACTGCAAGGAACCACTTTGTGCAGATGTCCATATATGTATGACACACTAACCCTACTGAACAGCTTCCATAATTGTACCCACCCAGAACTCATAAGCACTGAAACTCAGATAAAACTGGCGGAGGAATAAAAAAATCCACCAGAAGCTCATGAGAACAGATCAGCAATGGAAGGGGATGGAGCGAGGAGATAACCAGACTGCTTGGTTATTACATTATAGAAAGCAGATGCATTTTCTGTTACTCTTTTACCCTCCTCAGCAGGATGCTCCCTTTCTCACAGTATTCACACTTTGTAGTTCACAGGAGCCATTGCAAATGAAAGAAAAAAAGTAGCGAGCAGAAACAGCCAATCTAACCAGTCATCTTGAATACTGACAGCATGATTAGGGCTGACAGAGAAAGAAGGAAGTGCAGTGTTGGGACCATGAGCTAGCTACATAGACCATTTCCCCAGGAATATACAGTTTTACCCTGAACAACCCTGTGACCTGGGGAAGCATCATTATGTCCTCACTCAGCAGTGGGCTTGTAGGCCTAATTCAGCAAAGCTACTCAACTGCATGCTTAACCTAAAAGATAAGTGACATGTTCTACTGACTTCACTATGATTGAGTTTAACCATCTTTGATGGATCAGAGCCAGAGAGACTGCTCAAAGACACGGTGGCAAATCTGGAAAATAGTTCAGTGCTTGTCATCCCACTAAACAATTGTTCTTGGCTTTTATTAATGTACCTTAAAAAGAGAATTTGGCAGATGAGAACTAAACTATGCTAATTGACATTTTATTTATTAAAGCAGTGTTCACATAAAGGACACCCAAACATACGAACGTTTGGAGCCAGACTTAGAAACTATTTTATCCTTGCCAGTTGTAGTAATGAGTTCCAAATAGCCCCCAAAATTCCCCAAATTCTTTGGCAAAGTACAGGTCTGGATGTTCCCCATCTCTGGTGAAAGCAGATTTACTATTTTTGATTAAAATGTATTATTGTGTTAGCTGCCTGGAACGAGGAATGGCAAACGGATGATAACTCATTTATGCTGCCTTCCTCATTTCTAGGCTGAAAGCCTAGTTTGATTAAAAAAAACAGTAGAGAGATACACAGATTCAGATAGCAAATTCTGTTGATGTAAGCAATGGGTATGATCCAAGAATATTAAGCAACCCATGCAAAACTGATGCACACCTCTGCTGCTGCTTATATGATAAATGAACCAAGAAACAAACATCAAAGATAGGAGCTGCACTCGGCCAAGCAGCCGAGAGAGAAGAGGAGGCAGGTCCCCGTCCACAAGAGTTTACTCTAAAAGCTTAGCAGATAATCAGTTTGCTTGTTGCCAAGCCTGTAAGAGAGTAATAATCTGCAGGTATCATGGTAAAGTGAAGGTTTTCCAGAAAACACCATGACACTTAATGAGTTTGGAAGGGGAGCTGGGTTGAGTAGGCAGAGCATGATGAACATGGACACAGTGGCTACAAAGCACTGGGAGAACATTGTGTTTAACAGGGCCTGGCATGACCTATTTCAGTAACGAATTAGTAAAGTGGGGCACAGGATGTTTATTCAAATGTCCCAATTTAAAATGCTGTGCATGCTAATAAGCCTACACAGGAGTCGGTAAGAAGCACCTCAAGGCCTGGAGGAAGCAACAAGCAAAATCTAAAATGTCATTTAAAACTGAGACAAGGCACATCCAACGCCTGAAGAACAAAAATAGGATGACAGAAATCTGGAAGAGTTATCAAGAGCTAATTCAATTAAGAACAGAGAACAAGTTCTTGATTTAACTGAGTAGCTGGTGCTGAGGAAGGGCCCGAGAGGAGTCCATAAAAACAGCAAGACAAACTAAGCAGCTACTGAAGGCAGCAAGAAGCTGTCTGGCTTGCCTACCATCCAGGCTGATACAGCTGTGTATCAGGTTAAAAAAAAAAAAAAGAAAAAAGAAAAAAGAAAAAGAATTGTGGTATGTACAACATAGTATCTCTCATGTTAATAATGCTGTGTGTTGGAAGTAAGGCTGTATGATGGTTTCTCTCTATCGCCTCATGAAAACATCTGAAACTCTGTAAGATAGTAGCCAGTGCCTATTAGGAAGATAAGAGAGGTTAAGTATCCGTAAGCCTGATGCATTAGCACACTTCAGCGTAAGAAAAAAGCACCTTCAATAAGTAGTAAAAGAAAAGGTGTTGGAGCCCTCCAAACTAGCAGCTCTTGTTCTGAGAGGAAAGAACATGGAAAACATCCTTTCAATAATTTAAATAATTTTAACCTCCATTAAGTTATATCATGACCTCCCAAAAAAATTAGATCAACCGCTTTCAGCATTTTACCAGTAACATTTAGAGGGAAAAAACAAAGAAGGGGGAGAGAGAAGAGAAAACAGTTGCTTTTCTGCAGCGTGTACCTAGTGTCCACAAAAAATAGGTCATTTCATATGGCTCAATGTCTGCTGGATTCTCTTTCGAGAATCTATGATTACAGCACATGCATGCATAGTATAAAAACGCATTGGCTTTCCTCGCCACAGGCTGCCATGTATGCTCTGGCAGTGCCGTGCCCCTGCTCCACAGACCAACATCTCGCATCAGAGCGACTTCCTGACACAATTTTAATATTATACTATTCTGAAATATAGCCTATACACCCTGCAGCTATCTAATTACACTCTTTGGCTTTCCTAAAACCTTTCCATACCATTTGACTATGTGTACTGCAGATTCCTCAGAGTAATATAATACTATGCATGTAGCAGATTTACCCTGTATACGGTTTTAATTGCAACATCAATTACTGGCAAAATTCAAGTATGCATAATTTCTCAATGTGGTTTCCTTAAAAGTTGTACTTATTATACAAAACAGGGGCAAGAAGGCTACTGCTCAGATCATCTTTTGGGAAACTAATAAGCATGCACCAACACTAAGTGAGGACAAACAGCTGTCTTTAGCTCTGGACTGCTGAACTATCAGCCAAAGCCCACAGTGGCTTGTTAGCAGAGATTATCATTGGAAAGAGCTTGCAGCTGTTCTGCTTTGCCTCCAGTAGCTGTGTGTTCACTTGCTGTCACAGCACTGATATAAAGGCACTGCATATTACAAGGATTATCTGGATATTATGTGGGCAGACAGGGGAAAAAAAACCCACCCCAAACATCTAACATTTCACATGTGGTAGCCAAGAGATAACCACATCCTTGCAAAACTGAAAAGCATAATAAAGCGCAGGTGATGAAGTCATATCCTTGCTCCAAGGGCTGATCATCTCCTCAGCATTGCTGGAGTTGCCACCTTGATCATTCATATCTAAAGGCTTAATGGACTAAACGAGGCTTAAAGACTATGGCTAAATTCCTCCTCTTTGATCCACTGAGCAGTACTTGCCTGCAGTGTTTGTACCTCCTGATGCTAACAGGAACGCTGCTGTCACTTTATCCATGGGTTCCCAATCCTGAAGCACCTAGCCTACCACTGCTGAAGACCCTGGCCTGCCTGCAACCATGCGCATGTCCCCAGCGTAGCCCCACTGGTACAGTAAAACACATTTATTCTGAGCCAATTTTGCTAAGCTGTATTATCACCATAGTTTGCAACTGTCTGTTCCTTCCCATGCATTTGTTTCCTTTTATTATCTTCATTTCAAGATTATTTCCGTGGCTGCAGCAAACAAGGGAGGGTTACAAAGATGACATAACATCCAAGAGCCAGGGCTAACTGCTAACAGCATTTCTCCATCACCAGACTAGAGCAGCTGGAGAGAGCTATCAGCTTCACTGACGATGTGCTGATTTGCACCAGCTGAAGAGCAACTATACACACACTCACACACTTTTTCCATCTGTCTCTCTCCCGCTAGTCCCATAGGCTCATTCAGCCCCCAAAATATTAATGACTGCAAATAGCTCTCTTTAGGTAGAACAAGATGCTTTCAACACCACTTCATGTCATGACAGGAAACACAGACTTTGTAAAAATGACTAGCAATCCGGGCCCCTTGATCTCCTGTTTGTCTCTGCAAGACACTCTAAAGGCTCCAGCTAAAGGCTGAAGAAGCAATGAGAACTGTGCACTTGGTATATACATTTTTAATAGAACAACAAAGTCAGACCTTTTGCAAGGTATTACATTCAGGCACACAAGATCACTGGAAATTTAAGGTAGCATTTTTAATGAAGCTGAGATCTGTGTACCTGCATTTATTTTGGTCTACAGACAGTCTCCTATTACAGATGAAATGCAATTGTAAAATGCAAGGCATGCATGCTTAAAACCAAACATTAGGCAATCTCTCTGTACTAGTTTAGCCAATCTCAGCAGGGTAGTTTTGTTTGCTCTTCTGAGCAGAGGGAATGAGGGAGAGGTGGCTGTTCCTAAACCATTACATTCTGTAAATAATGAAGAGTACATAAAAGGTGGAGTGCGTGAAGTTCAATGCCTTACTTTTTCAGCCATTCTGCTATATCTGCCGCGGTAGCACCATAGTTCTCGAAGTGGAACAGGAACCTTCCTTTCCTGTAAAAACAACAAACCAAGGTTTAGTCCTTTCCCTGGAAGATAAGAACATGCAATTATAGTTGAGTGTGTGATTTCTAAAGTAGTAGCAAAACATAACTGACTCAAAATAGCAGATTGTAGGATATCCCCGGACATTGTATTCTTCCTTTATCCTTTCAAATTCAGCAGAGTAAATGTTCATCCCCGCAAGAACCTGAAAAAACAGAGCATAATTTTATTGATTCTTATAATACAGCAGGAACATAACTCTTCAAAAAAAATTGTAAAGTAAAAACAACTAAGCTCTGGGCAGATTCTGATTTCATTCATATTGCTGTAAAGTAAGGGGATCTCTGTAAAGGGCAGTGAAGTTTTTCTGATTTTGTGCAAGGGGGAACAGAGCAATATGAGTCTAGTCCACAGAAAGCACACACCAACCAGCTTGTCACCTCCTCCTTGCTCTGGAAGTGTCTCCATTTCTTTTTATTCACCCACTAACAGAAACACCTAAAGGGAATTCTCTCAGTTGCACTACTCATGCTCTCTTTGTGTGTTTCGATTTTAAGCTACAAGCCTAACTAGATTTTTTTTTTCTTCTTCTGCAAGTACGTGGCTTAGTTCACATCCAAACATTAGCTAGGACACAAGAAGTTCCACCCTCATCTCTCTGGTTTCCACTCCAGCAATGAATTTACAATCTCAGCTCATGTCCAGAAGCTCTAACCGACCAAGCACTGCTGTTATCCCAGTTCAAAAATGCACTTACTGGATGGCAAGGGGAAATCAGCATTACACTGATGTGAAAGTAAAACGTGCCCTATTTCCATGAGCCCAGGAAACACCACATGGCATTTATGCTTTAAATATGTTAAATTACCTGACCAGTAGGGTATAATGAAAGTTAAGAATTAACCTTGTCTTACAGATATCAAGAGGGGCACAAAAGCATAGTCACTTTTCAGACTAGCAAGTGAACCAAAAAGCCTCTCCTTCCCTCTCCTTACCTCTATCCCAACCCATATTCCACCTCCAGAGCCCTTTCACCCCAAGCTTCAGGCTCAGGGCTCCTACGACTTATCCTGTGCCCTGTCCAATTGTCTTCCAAAAATTTCTGACCCGAAAATTTGAAGATGGGACTGATTCTGAGTTTCTGTAGGTGTGGCATTCACATGGAGGTCGTTCAACCAGCGAGCTGCTGAGATACCACTTCATGATTAGCTTAGTTTAATGGCATTGACAGCTTAAATCATTTTAGCAGTAGGGTCTTAATCCACACACCTCCTCCTTCCCCCTCCAAAACCAGGACTTTCTTCTTCCAGCTGAAATACCACATCAGAATTTAATACCAGGTTCCTGACTGCAGCAAACTGCACAGACCAACCAAATGTGCTCAGAGACAGCATGAAATAAATCTTAAAGCAGAAAATCCTCGTTTGAAGGTCAGCCTTTTCTAAGAATGTGTTGGAAACTCACAAAAAACTACTTTGTTTCCTCTCCCCTATTCTGAGAAAGGATAAAGGAAAGCTACCTGAGAAGAGTACAGAAATAGGGTTTATACTGGCTGGCCAAGTCTCTTACTTTGAATTTTCCTTGTAGTTCCAACAACCAGATTGACTTAATTCGTATGAGATTATCTAGACCAAATTCCTCCCCTTCCCTTATCCTCTATGTCACCACTTGAGGGTCTGTAAATGCAACAGGATCAAGACACAGTGGTTGCTTTATAAAGCGAGAACCAGATTCATTAACTAGTTCCCTCATAAACACCAGTCTACCAGATTTCACATTTGCCGTGAACTTTCAGAGGATTTCCTAGGTTTTAAATGGGCGTTCCCAGCCATTTCAGATATTCTGCTACAATTTCACTGTGTCCACCCATCCTTGCGGTGACTGATACAAGTCAATAACTTGGATTCATTCTAGTGTTCATACATCATATGAAGCATAATTAGCAAAAAGCCTATTACAATTGGATTTGTTTTTAATGACAAAAGTAACAGCTTTAGCTGGCCTATAATCACAGAATTATGCAGTATCAGGCTGTCAGAGACCATCAAAATACACCTACTACCCAAAGCCACGGTCCTCCCTCCATACCTAAGCTGCTCCTGCCAGATGTTTAGCTAATTTGCTTTTAGCAAACGACTGAATGACCCTGACTTAAATTGAAGTCCATTACCTCTTGTAATAGCCACAGCAGACACGAAGATCAGTTTATTCCTTTCACCTCTGCAGTGACATTTGACATACTTCAACACTTATCCGCTCTCCACCAAGCTACCTATAACCTAAACTGACTCTGAACCTTTCCTAGCTGGCCATGTCTTCTGGGCTTCTGACCATTCCTGTTCTACTGTGACCCCTCCCTTGCTTCACAGTTTTCTTGACAGGATTGCTCCAAAATTGGTACCTCACACCACTACTTGAAGCCTTCCTAGACCAAGTTTAATGAACAGAATAAACAAAGGCTTCCTTTATTTGATATCTGAAATAAGTGCAGGAACTTCATGCTTCTGAAGTCTCATGTTTTTGCCAAAAAAAAAAAGACTAGCACCAAAGGGGGAAAGCACTTAAACATATGCTCAAGCCAGTCTTTACCAAGTAAAGCACTCTGGCACACTCATGAAGTCCATGGGCCTTAAGGAGATGCTGAAGTGCTTTGCTGACCACCAGTTCCTCCCTGCACTGGGGCCATAGCGCATCTGTGACAGTCACTCGCCAGAGCCCACCCTACCCACAAACCATGGGAATCTCTCGTGCCAAGGATGAAATAAGCCATCCTCTTCCGATTCGGAGTCCCCTTTTTCCTTCTGCACTGGGTGTAATGGAATTGCAAGATCTAAACCAAATCTAACACTGAAAATGCCACCCTGCCTTCCTCTCAGTAACAGTACTGGGACAAGAAACAACCAGTCCCAAGAGAACATGCAACCAACGACAGGTACAGTTCACCTTTTCATTTTTATGACCTATTGAATAGGCAATACTGTACTTCATTTTCCTGCTATATAATAGCAATAATAGTTTTTGAGCCTGGCACATCCTGACAGCTAATGACAGGTCAGATTAAAAGGCCAAACGAATCATAAACTTCCCAGCAAAGTCTGATCTGGAGGTCAACATTGCTCTAAGGTACCCCATGGATAATTTATGATGGGTACAGCATAGTTAACTTTAGAAATGGCAAACTGTGTACACATCCCACTCAGGAAGCTAATTAGGTCAAATTTAGATGAACAGACTGATTTTTGTGAAAGACACGGGTGGCAGTAGCATAACTGGACTTTCCTCTGATCTGATCCTGCACTAAAAACATGCCAGTGCAGAAAGCACCCCTGACCTGAGCTGCCTTGAGCACAGGCACTGCCAGTCTCAGAGCTGTGCTACAGCCCTGTCACTCAGCTGTGCAGGATTAGCCCGGATCTACAGAAACCATTTCCAAGTGAGGAAGGAAATAATCAAGCTAGAATAGATGTGGAGTTTTAAATTCTCTGGTCTGAATTTAATAAAACGAGCTGCACATGAACAAGGAAGGGATAATTGCAGGAGAACACAGTGCCCTGCAGCATGCCTTCTCTCTGCCACTACCTCTATAGGTGATTCTTTACACTCCTAATTCCTGCCCACCCTATGCCTCGCAATGTACCCGCCATGCAAGATGGGAGTGCCTTCCCAAAGACCGTGGCGCGCCCTCCACCGAGGGGAGATGGCATTAGAGTGCTGCCTGGTTAGATGAAAAAGCTCTTGAAAATATCTTCAAGGGTTGTACCATGTCCTAAATAAATCTGAACAACTCCCACGCATTTCAGTCGTAAGCAAACAAGGATTTAGAGAAAACACTTCTGAAAACAACTAGTTGCGAGGACATGGGGGAGTCTGACAGTACTCGGTGCTTATGAGCAGCAATGGCCAGAGCTGCCCCAGCGATGAACCGCAGTGCTTCATCTTTTCCTCATCATACGCTGCCTCTCCCGAGGAAACCTGTAAACTCGACAGTGAATGATCCAACAGGTAGGATCAGACCAAATCCAGCTAAAGCTATGAAACAACAATCCTAATTCTTTGTCACTCATGTATTATTGGCATCATATAAATTATACATTAAGCAAATTATCAAACCTTGACTTGAGAAGTGCCTTCAACTTGCTTAGAGAGATCAATATGCCTTATTAGTACAAACAGGTAACTAAATTATTGTGACTGCTGTTGACGAATTTTATTATGGTCAAAACTTATTTTCATTTCAATCTGGTATGAATGCTAACTTTGTTGACAGAGCTATATTAAAACTATAAGATTTTATTAATGCTTATGCTTAGTGGCTAGGAGGATGATCAGTAGCTAATGTAAGGAAATCCCCCTCCCACGACACTGATTCTCCACTAAAAAAGTGGATTATTACTGTAAGGGCATCCATCCTTAATCCCTCTATGAAACATCAGGTGAAAAACCTGATCAAACCCATTATGGCAAACATTTCATTATCTTTACCAACATGAGCTCAACAAACTCACAAATTAGAAGCTAAACATAAAACTTTATAGAGTCAGAGCCCATTTTTCCACGGCAAGAACTACACTGGATTTAAAGGGCAAGTGAGTTAGCACCTCATTTTCCAAAGGTTTAAAAAGAATAAAAACCAAGAGAGAGAATCCTGAAGGGATCTGGAACAGAGTCATTCATTTCTGTTTTGTTTCGACTTGCTTAAGAATTCCCCACTTCAGTAAGTATTTGCGGTTTTAAATACTCAAAAAAATAAAGTGTTAAAAGGATTTTTTTAAAATTTTATATAAATCTTATCTTCTCACTTACATATTTACCCTTCAGTTCGGTGGCTGCCTGCTGGTAAGATGGCATCATTCTCTTACAAACACCACACCCTGATAAAAAAGAAATTGTATAAGTAATATGCCAACAACTCTATTCAGATTGTTCTACAGGATCTATGTTCCAAAGCATATGAAACTACATTTTTTTAATATACAAAAAATTTTAAAACAAAATTCCTTATCTATTTCACTAAATAATTATTAGATTATTAGTTTCTAAGGATGTTACTTCTTGTTACATGCAGCTATTTTTGCATGTTTTTCATGCTATTCATTTTCGTACTCATTTCTCATCCCAGTTTTGGAAAGAGTAACACCATCCTATATTCCTCAGGCTCTGAGCTGAACCCAGAGGGGAACTTAAGATGCAACTCACATTTCAAAAGTCAATGGAACATGTCATGCTTGTGAACACAAAAAAAAAAGCTTTGTGCATTTCTGGTCTTTAAGGGAGGGGAGAGGTACTTCAGATTCATCCCAGCTTAACAAGTCTTTGAAATTCATTTGAGACACACTTCCTAAACACATTAAACAGACATCAAAAGGTAAACAGTGCTCTGTTAATTGAGAAGACATAACTCAGAAGAAGTAACAGCCCTTGTAAGATACAATAACTTTACGTGCAGAGGAAAAGACAAACGGCAAGTGAGGAAGACTACCAATGTATAGCTGGAGTGTGCTAAGAGCTGTTTGATGACGCTCTCAAGTGCTAAGCAGATTAGCACTAAATCACCTTGTAAGCAGCAGGTTTCACCCCTGCCAAGTAAAATACATGCATGCACATGGGAAGGAGCAGGAGTGCAGACAGCATGAAAAAAAAGAAGCTGCGGCCAAGCACTTCAGACACTTTTTGTGGAAACTCTTGGGTCCACCACGGGACAGCAGTCAACATTTTTATTCTGGTGAAGAGACAAGAGTTTTGAAAGTATCTTCCAGAAAGGAGGAACAGATTTTGCAGCCACTGGTTTAGGATCACATCAGCATGCCTGGGAAGAACATTCTTTAATCAGAGGAAAGAGAGCTCTTGTTTCTGCGGTCTTTCCACCTTTGATCTCTCTGCTGAAATCGCCAGTGAGGTTGCTAAATTAGTGCTGGTCAAAATGACGATTTCTTGGTGGGCACGGACCACTCATTTGAGGCCCACTGAGGTCTTGCAGCTTCATCCAAACCACTGGACAGACAACAAAAGATATGAGTTGTTAACACCATCTCTGGATCCTCTGTTTCTTCTCTCTTCAGCAGCCTCAGGCCCCTAACTCCCCCAGCTATCCATCTCTCTCTCTTCCCCTCTTCAACCTATTACCGCTCCCTGGACTCCCTTTCTGGAGCACAGGCACATACCAGCCTCCTCCACCCAGCCATCACCCCTATAGTCCTTCCATTCCCAGCTCTACTGCTGCCTCAAACTCACCGCTCCCAAACCCACTTCAGTACAACTTCTCCTGCCCACGCATTTCTGGGTTATACTGTTGAGGACGCTGTCAAGCCACATATATCCCTATACAGGCATAAAAGGGTAACCTGGAAAATGAATTTTCTTCTGTTCTTTCTTCTTGTATTTTGACTCAAAAGGAGGGGCTTAATTAAACACATATTAGTGTCTCCACTAGTTAACACCTCCATTTTTAAAGCCCTGTTTTCAATGACATTATAAACAGCTCCTTTTTGTTGCCAAATCCAGACCGTCTCCTGCAGGAGTAGTCTTTGACAGTTAACTACAAATAAATCTGAATGCCTGTAAGTATACCTAATTTTTCATATTTAGTGCTGTCGGACTTTATAATATAGGTCCAAAAGTACAGTGAATGGTCTCCAAATGGCAGGTAATATCTTCTAAGGAAAGCATGCCTTTGCTCTGAGTTGTTTTACCCAGACCAAGCATTCCTGAAATATTAAAGAAACTACATTTAAAGTTTGCAGTCACTTTCATCTCCCTCTGCACTGGTACGTAATGAAAGAGCCCATTTCCTATGAATCTGCCACAGTGAATCTAAAGCTCCTGCTTCCAACAAAGCAGAGAAATAATGCAGCTGTCTTCCCCGTAGCTTCCCAGACAAAGCCTCTCATGTCCTCTTGTGCCAAACACCTCCCTGACTCGCCCCTTACAAGTAAAGAAAAGCAGAATTTCCTTTAGTGACCAGCCTTGATTTGCTGCTCCCAGTTATGAAAGGTAACACCTGTATGTAACCAGTAACTTCAGCTGCCCAAAGCCAGTACTTTAATGCAACTGCTGGATGTATTCTGTCTCCAGTAACAGGAGTAAGAAAAGAAAAATTGGACAAGAACCAAGTTAGAAGGTCTTGTGTGTTAAATAAAAGATGAGGGAGTTAAGAATTGCAAAATCAGAGGGGAGGGAAAAAAAAAAAAAAACAACTTACAAGTAGGCCTCCTTCACAGCAGTTTAGAAAGCAGCAAAAGTATTACAGCACTGAAGACTAGCAGGTGTTTTGCCACTTCAAAAGAAGAGAAACTGGAAGGAGGAGGGTTTCTGGGGGAACGGTTCAAAGAGAACAAAGGATTAGATAAGTCGCATTTCAGGAAGAGACTCAGTTGTGGAAAACAATTACTCATGATACAGGTAAACTGTGAAAGCACTCTGCAGCTGAACTCTCCCTGAAGGGGCAATTTACAGGCAGAGCAGGCGTATCGTCTCCCACTGATGCTAAGGCGGCAGCACTGACTGGGAGCAACCATGCGCCATGCCAGGCCACACAGGACCATCCTGCTGCAGAGTCTGAAGGCACAGAGCTGCAACTAATTTAATTAAAAGGAAAAAACATTCTCTTAGTGATGCATAAACTAAGTCTTGGGCAATTCTGTCCATCTTGGCAGTACTCAGGTGACACTAAAAAGGTAGAATGGCGTTTCAGGCAGTAATTACAAGAGAAAATACACTGGGAAACACAAGATAATGCTGCCACGGGACACAGTTTTAAAGAGAATCAGCCAGCAAATTGCTAGTGGTGCCTAACATCAATTTCCCTATCAGGGCAGCGCTGGGAGGCTCTTCTAGCTTAGGTCACACGTGCATTCCTTTCTCATGGCTCCCCTGCTTTCCAGCTGAGCAACAACTCCAGTGCAACACCATCTTGTTTTGAGAGCTGGAAAGCCTCTCACGTACCAGTCACCAGGAAGCACAAAAAAAAGCAGTTATAAATCTGCAAAATTAAGGAACAAGCAGCCAATGCAATGACAAGATAGCAGCAATACAAGGTCAAGGTCACAAAAGAAATGCAATGACTCCAATGTGCTCTTCTCTTTCCTTCTTGCCCACCCCATGAAATCTCACTTGTATTCAAGTTACTCCTACCAATGTGAGTAAACACCCAAGGTGCCTCCTGGATGGAGTAGGAAAGATATTCCTGCTCCTGACCACTGCACTGTTCTCTCTGCCTGCAGTTAGGAAGAACAAATACATTGTGTTTTTTCAACTCCATGGTCTCCTCTGGAGATCTTTTCCTTGTGTGGAACCAGCTTGTCTTATGCTACAGCTCAAACTGCAAAAGTAAAAAGCGTGTGCAATACCCGTTTGCACTTACAGCTCCGTACAGGCCAGAGGGCTAGGCACTCTCAGACAGATGTATTAACACTTATGCACTCAACATACAGTGTTTCTGTCTTGTACAACACAAATCTAGAAAGGACAACGGGTAAAGAAATTACAGAAAGCAGCTGCTTAAAAGAACAACAAGCAAGAATCATCATCACCACAAGAGAAAGAGGCAAGACTAGGATACAAGCAATGGACAACTAGGGGAAAACTGAGAACAGGCAGAACAACACAAGGAGTTGAATGATAAAGATGGGACAAGATGGTCATTAGTGAAGCACAGGTGAGGCTTCTACTCAGACTTGGAGATCTCTCAGTGGAGAAGGGAGAAAGAGGTGAGAGGACATGCTGGGTTACTTACAGGGGGCATAGAACATCATCAGAAGGGGTTTGTCTTCCTTCTTCAGAAGCCTTCTCAACTCCTAGTGAATGAACCAAAGAAAATAAAAACGGACCTATACCCAAAGACGCCTCTTATTATTTGTGTTACAACTTTAAAAAGTTAATATATGTATTCATATAATATACGCTCATTTATCTGAGGGAAGAGGGGTCATCTTTCCCAACAGACAAGACTTGAGTATCTTCTCCTTGCTCAATTTTAACTTGAAAGAAGATGGCAAAATTTGTTATAGATTCGAATATCTGCTAAATATCCTAGACCAGTATCTTCACTGTTGAGACGTGGAAGTTGCATGGCTTGGTTTATTCTCACTGCAGAATCTCTGATTGGAAACTTTTTCTTCCCTGACCTCTCCAAAAAGCCATACTCTAATTCAAAAAGTCAGACTCAATAATAAACAAGTTCAGTTTCCACACTATGAAACCTTGTCAGAGCTATGAGAAGCCATGAGAATAGATTTTTCAGAACCAGCATGATAGAGAAACCAGATGAAGTTTTCAAATTGAATGCAACCCTTGGAAGGCTGGTAATAGAGTACAGAGAGTGAACATTAAAAATTAATCTTCCTACAAAAACTGAATGTCAAAATAACTGTTTCTAATATGAAAAATGAAAGCCAGAAAATTGAAAAGGCCCTTTATGAAATACCAGCTAGAGTCCAATCAATTAAGTTTTAAAAATCTATAGACTAGAAAACTAATACAAAAGACCAAGCTGATTATATTAGAGGGAAAATAATGGGTAGCTCTGTGGTGGCACAGGCTTTTTAAGGTAGTTTTCGTTGTATTTGCTGCTTTCGCACTTAAACGCTGAGAGGACAGTTACTGTAGAAGGTTAAATCACTCAAGATCTGGATCCTGTTCCTTCCTGCTGCAGACTTCCCGAGACAACCTCAGGCACATGAGGGAACCCGAGGTTTAAGGACAACCTGCAGTTGTAAGAGCACCGTTGTAACTCCTACTTGTATCCTGCAGTGACTGCATCTTGCAAGCTGCTACACTTTCCCTGAGACAAACAGGTCTCTGCCGCCACACCATCCACAATGTTTTGACACTTGCTGTGTAGCTGGCAGACTAATATCATGACCACATGTAGGGGAGGGGAAGGCGGGAAGCAGGAGACTTTATAGTTATCACAATCCACAAACTTTGTCAAGTCACTTAAAAACAGTTTGGGTGCTTTAAACTTCCCTTTCAAAGAAAGGAAATAACGGTGCTTCATTAAGAGTTAACACAAACATACACACTCCCTTCATCCCATATATTTATAAAACATATAGAACATCTATCCAGCTAACGTACCTTTTCACTGTCAACATGCACAACGTCTTTGGCTTCGGGATCCTCCTCCCACAGTGGAGCACCTTCTGGATCCTTGAGAAAGGCCACCATAGACTGTAATAAACAGGGAAAAAAAGCTTTTAAAGCAAAGTGAATGGAAACCATGAGACATCTAATCTCAAATCCATGCTGTCATGCAAACCCCACCCAATTAGTGCCTTTGCTTTTCTGCTCATATACTCATCTGCTCTAATGCAGATGAACACAAATCTCCTATTGCAGAACCAAGTGATACACTGGTGTGTACTTTCCTCATAACTGATATCCCAACTTACCAGTTCCCATTTCCACTATAAAACTGGGGAAAACGATGTGGAAGTAGACCAGCACACAGACAGTAGCTTCAAGGATCCTTCAGAGAGCTCTTTCAATGGTACTAGATCTGCAATACTTCCACAGCTACTCCCTGGCTTAGCAGGAAAGATTTCTCTTTATGTAGAGGTCAGGTTCCCATACCTTTCACCATATCTGAGTAACCTTTGAATCCAATAGGACTCGTTGGAGGGCACGCTGACACTTGCTGTGAGCAAAAGCAATGAACTCCACACTTAAAGATCAAACTGCTTATTTGGTCAGAGGAAGAACAATGCACCAATAGTTCCCTCTATGACCCATCTACCTAGAAACTGCACTCAATGGATTTTTAAGTAGGAGAGTAAGAAGCAAACATGACAAGAGAAGTGGGAAATACAAGACCCTATGACTCTGCAGCTCTCATACTCAACAAGCTGAGTACACGTGCATGCATACTAACTGCTTTACCTGACTGACACGCAACCAACTATCCATTTCAGCAGACCACAGATATTCTCCTTATCACAAGGAAATACTTTCTGCTCGTTCCGATTTCAGCCTGAGCCTAAGGGAAACTCCAGCCCTCCGAAGTCAATGAGACGCTCTCCATGGATTCCAGCAGAGTCGCACTGCCCCCCATTTCCAGCTGTACACGGAAGCACAGGCTCGATCACTGTTATCCTCAGACGTCTGTGCTCTAAGAGACATAATACTTGGTTTTCTGTATTCATTCACCACTCAGACTGACGCCATTTCTTTCTCTGTGGCATTGCTTGTAGGTATGTGTCCACTCCCAAACAGGATCTCTGCCACACCAGTAACATAGTGAGGTCCCCGAGGAGCTTCCTTTATTGTAAGAGTGAGTGGATGATGCTGCAACAACACTAAGTGAACTTACTTGGAGCTGGAGCAAAGAAAAGCTTCATTAAAGCCTTTTACAGCCCATGGGATATTTTGCCAAAGCAGCTCACAACTGAAGAGCAGAGCTAAGTATATACTAACACACACCATGAGCATCCATCTAAAAGCCCAGGTTTGTACTCCACCTCCTCAAGAGCAGGTTAGCGGCACTCTTGGTGACACATGCCACTAAAACAGTCTCAGACACTTTTGCCACTTCTCTGCCTTTGATAGGGCTGCTCTGATACAACATCCCAACAGCTTATCAGCAGATAGTGGAGTTCAGCTCCTTTTCCTGCATCTCAGTTGGTACTGCAAGGCTTGGGAGGATTCAGAGCTTACGGCAGGATCCACTTATTATATTTATGTTTCTGTCTACTTGCACAGCTAATATTGAAGAGATTTGTCTTATCACAAGAGGCAGCATATATTAGTCACTAGACAAAAAGCAAAGCACTTAATGTACACAGTAAGAAGACCTAAGGGGTGAGGTAGTAGTGTTGGGACCACAAACACTTCAAGGAGAAGAAATGTGTTTTAATATGGCATTAGCAGCAAAAGCAGCTAGCTAGGAAAAAAAATAAAATCGAGTGATTTATAATGGAGTTACAGTTGTAAAAAGCTCTAAAACTAGAGGCATTAACATCCCAAATGATGCCCTAAGACGACTTAATAATATATTGGGAAAGGAGAGAAGAGGACAAAACAGGAGAGATGTTCTACATTTAGGAAAGCTACATCAAGTTCTGCTCGCTCTCAGTCTGCACAGACCTCAACTATACATTGGAGGGGAGGAGAGAGGGGTCAACATTTCAAATAGCTAATGAATGCGATTGACTCTGCTAGTTTCAAGAATTCCTGCGTGCCAAGTTCAGTCATGTAGAAACAGATGTGGTTAGAGGATGGGGGATTAAAGAGATTTAATTCATCCAGCCTCTCCCTCTCAGCCAAGACAGAAAAAAAAATTAGATGTGTAATGTCTTCTGGCAGGAGCAGGCAGTACATTGCCTTGCGCTCATTACTCCACGCAGTGAAGAGAACTTCCTGTGTGCCTTTAAATAGGAAAGAACCCCCCCTCCACCAAACAAACCACAGGACTTTCTAATCACAGAAAAGCAGTGGTCCCCAGGCTGCTGGGTTAGAAACCAGAGCAAGGTCCAGACCACGGCAACCCCCACACTGAAGAATCAGCTAACGCTCTTGTCCTGCCATGACGTGCTCAGGACCCGCTTTGACCCCGCGGCACCGACAGAGCCACATTGGGCTGTAACCCGCTGCCCAAACCCCTGCAACAGCTTTGAACGTTAAACTCGGCAGAATGCAGGACATGGCTTCATCCAGCCTATGCTGCTAAAAGCAAGCAAGTTTTATCAGCACAATAGCTGGCTATCATATATGGACCTAGGTTTTAACCTGGAAAAAAAAAATATATATATACACACACAGAAACACATCCCTGTACTTTTCACTCCTTTGAAGTATAGCAGTAGGGAGGCTATCATATATGGACCTAGGTTTTAACCTGGAAAAAAAAAAAATATATATACACACACAGAAACACATCCCTGTACTTTTCACTCCTTTGAAGTATAATGCAGTAGGGATGCTAATAAAGAGACTTCCCTTGATTTCACACACACCCCCCTCACAACAGCAGACTTGAAAAGGAATCAGAGTTTAGAGCAGGATCAATTTATTCGGTTAGTCTATTCCCTTTGCTAGTACTGAGCAGATTTGTACTTTAATGAGTTTTCTCCATTTCAGAAGGAGAGTAAAACTCTCCCTGTACTTTAGCCTCCAGAAAAGGCTTCATCATGTAATAAACACAGCATGGATACCGGCCTTATGGCACTATCAAGGATTAGGACATGGTGTGGCTAAAGCAATGTATGAACAGACGTACCAGTTAAGATCACAGACTGATCTAAGCTTAGGTCTCCAACAGCACCTGACTACAGATACCTGGAGAAAAACCATACTAGTACCATTCTTACATAGCGTACACTGGTATATGCTCTCAATTTCTGGCAACAACTAATTAAGTTTATGGACTCTGCACCAGCTGTTGTATTTGGACCTCTGTGTTTGCTAACTATCAATGGATCTATCCTTTATGACTATCTGAAATGGTTTTTAAGACTTTTAAATTCTTGGCTTTCACAACATGTAGCTATGAGTTCCACAGCTTTTTTTTTTTAAACGTTGCTGTTATTTGTTTCAAATCAGCCTCCTCAAAATGCCACTGTTTGCACCCAAGTCCGGAGGAAAAACAGGTATTCATTTCCTTTTTCAAGCTACTCACAGTTATACAAATATCTATCATAATCTCCTCCAGCTGTCCTTTTTTCCAAGCCCAAGAATCTTCACGTAAATATTCAAGCCATCTGTGCCTCTGATCATCCTCACTGCCCTTCTGTGGGGGCACTACTTCTACACCTTTCACTTGATGGGGCAACCAGAATCACATACAAGACACAAGATGAAGGAACCCAATGGACTCAGATGGTGCAATAACATTTCTTCTTCCACTCTCTGTTCCTTTGACTTTTAAATACTGTTAAGCACAGGGCCAATATTTTCAAGCCAACTGCTGTCCTGACTGGTAATTCAAAATCCATTACAACAGCCTGCATTACTCCAGCATAGTTGGAGCTCTGTCCTTTCCTTCCCTCTCATGTTCATTACCCCACAAGTTCCTACTTTCATATTGACAAGCCACTTTGTATTGTGAGAACCTAAACCCTTCTGCAAGGAGTTGGAAATATTTCTTCAGACTTATTCCTAATAATTTTGCAGCGCCGAACTTTGTTATTTTGCAGTTCACCTCCCTTTATCAGATACCCCAATCCTAACACAGGTCTCAGCAGCAGGAGGTTCTGACCGCTAACTTCCCCCCACTCTGAGCACTGAGCTATCCTTTATTCCTCATTTTTCTAACAGTAAACCCACAAGGGCCTCTCTGCTAATTACAGAAGGATTTAGTTACTTTAAGAAATGAAAAGCTTTTCTTAAAACCCCCAAGCACACTATCAGCTGGATCAGCCACATCTATGAAATTGCCGATTACTTCAGAATAATCTTTTTACAGTTCTTCAGAGCCATGTCCATCATTCTCCAAAATGTCATACATATATTAATATGTCTACTGGATGCCTTGAAAGAAGATCCGAGATTTATTGCCACAAGCTTGCTGAATGATGTGAAACAAATCCTTTAATCTCCCTGTTCTTCAGTGTGTCCACCTGTCCGTAAAATGGGTATGATACTCTGTAATTTGTGTTGCTCTGCTGCTTGCTGTTTGTAATGTACTGGGAGATTCCTGACAAACACAGGTGAGAGAGAGAAAGAAAGGTCACTGCTTCAACAGAAGAAAACAGGGAGAAGTGGTATAGAGGGAGAAATACAGAAAATATTCAGGCAGCTGTGAGCAGCAGAACAAGTAAACACTCAGCTGAGTTATTTGACCACTGCCCAGCTCTGATGCACTGTCCAACCTGTAAATCATTAGCAGCTGGTTTCACAAGGGCAGTTAAATTAAGAAAGACTAGAGGTCCTGGAGGGAGGGAGCTTCAAAACCTCTCATCCACCCGCACTGGAATTGCACATCCCTGTCCACAGGATGCTGCTTCCTTCTCCCCAGCAGGCAGGGCAAGAGGGAAGGGGGAAACGCTCATCACAAAACCGCAACTGAAGGAATAAATGGTATGGTTCCTGTTGTGCTATGATTGCCTCTCAGCCCAACGCCCCCTGGGGCTCTGCAGGTGCTTTCCAGTTGATCCGATCTGTAAGGAAGAATGACAGCACTAATTCCTGGTTGCAGCACTTTATGGAGGGCAGGAAAGACATTTCATGCACTGCTCATACCACCCAAATTTAGGCAACTAAGTCTCCCTCGCCCCACCACCCACCAAGAGGGAAAAAAATTCACCAAGTGCATTTCCTCACTAATTACAGAAGGAGCCTCAGGCACTTGCTGACTAGGCCGGGTATCTAACATTGCCCTTCCTAGCGCCAGGCAAGATTTCTACTGCAGGAGATGGGAAGATACACAGTCCTACTCTCCCCACCTCAGGTGCATCCTGCATGACAACCCCAAGTGCAGGCTGAATGGGTGATTCAAGCCAGGGGACGCTTCCAAGACAGTCCCCCCATCAGCTACCCCACAACTCTGGCTGTAAAAAGAAGGTCCAGAGCAAGCACGCTTAGGAACAGCCACTCTGACAGACTCAGGTTCATGTAGCATCTCACACAGGCTTTCCTCCATCCCAGGCCAAACCCCTGAACAAGCTAGAAAGGGGAAGTGAATGTAATGATGTCAGCCTCAGGTGGTGTCATCAAGCCTCCACAAGACCAGTGATGGTGCAGAGCCGGGTTTGCTGGAGGAGGAAGAGAAATGGGAACTGGGCATCAGAGCTGGCCAGAAGTCATTTCTGGAAGCCAAGTCATTGCAGGGCTGCAGCCTCACGTGAGGATACTCCCAGTGCTTCACCAGGGCTTCGCAGAGGAAGGCTGCACACTTTCGGCCTGCTTACTGTGCTTTTAGTCCACCATTTCCACAATCAAGATCTACACATTCGTTTCACATTTCATGTCTTCTTCCTTCCATTGCCCTCACAGAACATTGCTTTCTGTTGCTTTGTGTCAAGGTTTGCAGGAGAAGAAAGGTTGTTTTATCCCTGCTGCACTCGGGGCACATCCGTAGGAACTGTGGTTCCATAATCTGACAAAAGGTAAGGCCACTCAGCTCCCTTTAAAGTTTATAAACACACAACCTAAAAACCTCAGAGAACTCCTTACCAAAATGCAGTATCAGCTAATACTTTTAGTTATACTGCCATTAATAGCACCCTGTAATCAAAACAAGAAAATCCCTATTTGTTACCAGCCTGCAAGTTAACTCACAATTTACATTACAGTTCAACATGGGTTCAATCTTTTTAATAATACACAGTTTTCCTGGATCTGTGGTTGGAGGACATGTACACACACAAAAACCTTTAGGTCATTCTGACAGCTGTTTATGAAGATTAACCCCCTCCCTTCCATGCCTTCAGCATGAAAAAGTACCAACACCTGTTTTTAATCCACAAATGTCTCCCCCCTATCTAGCAAAACCAAAAGAATAATAATCAAATATTTAAATTTACCTTCAATGTGACCGCTCTGTTATATTCAGTATGAAATGCACCGTCCCTGTTGAACAAGGAGTGGGGAATAGTGTTAACTTACAGTAACGTTGCTGGAAATCATACAGCTGCTCTCCCTCACTTCTCACTAACCAGAATAACATTATCCTGCTGAAGCCACAGAACTAAGTAGAATTTACAGTACTAAATTAAGGGGGGGGGGGGGGAAGGGTAAGGAAAAAGGGAGGGGGCAAAAAAGGGG